TATATATTAATATTTACCTTACTTATCATTCCAAAGAGAACTGTCAAACAATTTCCATTTGCAGTGCACAGAGTCACTCATCAACAGTGAAAATGCATAGTCCTGTGCCAGGACGAATTTTCCAGCTGGACATGATTCTCTTCTACCATGCTATGGGTGGGTGAGCATCTTGAGAAGGTTAATAAGATGCAAGCATCTGAATAGAGGTCAGTGTCTGTAAGAGGCAGCTATCCAATTTGCAAACCCAAACTGTAGGAAAGCACTGTAATTAACAGCACCAGCTAATGTTTACATAATTCACCAGTATTAAAAAATTGTGCCTCCTCCAGACATGAGTGAAAGTAATGAGGGCTCTCTGACCTGTAAATACAGACTGGTGAGCCTTCAGAGGGCTCCTGAATGTACATTACTGTGGATGGGCAAACTTGTTATAAGGTGTCTTAGTCTATTGAGGCTACGATAACAAAAATACCATTGACTGGGTAGCTTACAAAAACCAAAATTTTACTTATCACAGTTGGACTCTGGGAAGTCCAAGATCAAGCTACAAGCAGATTCAGGGTCTGGTGAGAGCCTGCTTCCTGGTTCAGAGATGGCACGTTCTCAGTGTGTCTACACACAGCCTAAGGGTCAAGGGAGCTTTCTGGGAATGCTTTTATAAGGGCACTAATCCCATTCATCAGGACCCCACCCTCAGGACCTCATACCTCCAAAAAGCTCCCACCTCCTAATACCATCACCTTGGGGATTAGGATTTCAACATATGAATTTGGGGGTGAGGGGACACAAACATTCAGTCCACAACATAAGGATTCATTTTAATTAGGAAATATGCTAATGTGAAACATGCAGAGACAAAAGTAAACTTTCTCATACAGCTCCCAACTTATTTAAAACTAAACGACACTCAAATTTTCTCACTAAACCCAGCCTTGTATCACTTAATTCACTTTGCTGCACCCTATTCTAAATATACCACAGGCAATAAGAAGAAAGACTGTGTACTAACTACTGCATTGGAATACTCACCCAGAGCAATAAGAATACCAAACCAAATAAGGAATATGAATAAAGAAAAAAGATAATATTTGATGACCATATGAACACCTATATCTGTAAGGACAGATCACCTCAAAAGATGGGGGCTCACAAAAGCATGCGTCTCCACAACTGCCTTGTAGAAAGCCAAACTCTTAGAACCAAAATTGCATAAGAGGTTAAGTCTGGTTGGCGACGAGGAGGAATGGATTAGCTGGCTTTCTCTCTGACAGCCCACCACCTGTCCTGGGCCTCTTGCCTCTAGCTACAGCTTCCTCTTCTCTCATAACTCCAGGACAAGGAAGCAAAGTTGACAGTCGGAAATCTGCTCAAGAGTGGGAAGGGCTATGACGTTTCCCAGGAAGCCTTTAAGCAAGGAGACAGAAGCCAAAATGAGGACCCCATGTAAGAGGACTGGGGAGATCAACACTCCACAGTACAGACCACCTTCGGAGACCAGCCTGTGGCTTCTCCGAGACCTATACGGTCCCAGGGAGTCCTGAGGCTGAGTCCCCTCGGTTATACCTCAGGGTCCTCAGAAGCAGAGAGCATTGATTTACGGAGGGCGACGTCAGGTCAGTAGAGGGAGGATGCGAGCCTCTGATGACCTCAAGGTGAGGACCCTGAATGAGGAACGAGGGGTGGACCCAGCCAGAACAGTCGAGTCCTGCCCCGGCCGTCCACCATTGGCGGTCTGGAACAGTTGTCGGTGGATCTGGCTCACACTGACTTCTGACTCTGGAGTCCCAGGTAGTGCGGGCCTTGACCTGAGGGGTGCAGCCTCAGGTCCTCTGAGAGTGAAGTCCCTGGACTAGTCAGGTGCCAAGGTGATGAATTTTAGGGAGGAATGAGGGAATTGCCCACATTCCTAGAGGAGGCATCACAAAGTCCGCCCCCCAGCCCACGACCTGGGAGTCCCAGGCAGAGTTGTCAAGTTGAGGAGCCCCCTCGTTTCTTCCTGCTGGGCCTCAGGGAGAGGAAAGCATTGGTCTGGGGAGAGCGAGCCCCCAATTTTTTTTTTTTAAGATTTTGATTGGGGAATTGGGGGATGGGAACAGTGCTGGGGAATCGGGGGAAGGGGAACAGACAAATTGCTGTTGTTTTGTTCTTCAGTCTAGTTGTGGAGGACGTTGCTTCACTGGCCCAAGTTGGCACCATCATTGCG